AGAGAGAGAGAGAGAAACGGGAGCAACAGGAGCCGGCCGTATTTCCCGATGTTTGCTGACCCCGTGGTCCTTTAGCCGGAGCTGTGTTTGCTCGTGTGCCCAGGGATCTGAAGACGAGCACTCGAGGAGAAGCCATCTCTCGAAGGACTCGAGCGCCGAGTCGAGTGTCACCGATTTTTGTTTGCCGCCACGGGGTTTTCCCCGACAAAGGGAAAGAGACTCGACTCGGCTTGGCTCGAGCCGAGGAGATTACCGATCTGTCCGCTCCACCCCTCGTCGCCGCGCTAATTTCCCTTGCTTTCTGCCCGGGAAAATTAGGGAAACATCGAGGAGTCGAGTCGTGGCACCTGCGACTGTTTTTCCTGGCCGCTTCACTCGCTCTCTCCGACGACTCGCCCTTTTGTTCAAGCGGTGATCGTCTCGTGCTTGGTGAGAACTTGCTCGAAGCAAGGGATCTTCAATTACGAGCGGTGACTTGGAAACGAAGTATTTCAAAAATATTTCCGAAACTGCGCGTGCTTTGCCACAACAGCAGGATGTAACTTTCTTAAATTAAGTAAACATTCATGTTTTAATATTGTTAACCTTAACCTCGCTCGACGAGTCATTTCAACCGAGTTTGGATATAAACAACGAACGATTAAAATTGTGATGGTATGACAGAGAGAGAGAGAGAGAGAAAGAGTGGAAATACATAGATCGGGAACGATTAAAGTTTTAGTTTTAGAGACGAAAGGGCGCTTCGGTACGCCTAATATGCCCCCGACAAAGGGGGTGGAAAACCATAAATATGAAAGAAAGAAGTTTTAGCTAGCGACGCGTCTGTGAATTAGCCAAGATAGATAGAGATCCAACAGCTGACAGCCGCCTCTCTTCAAAGCCTTCTCTTCCGCCCCACATCTCGCGAACCAAAGCGATACTTCAACACCGTGCTCCTACTACTCGAATGTTCCCCGAATTCGGAAAGGGTTGACCGGCTCCGGCAACCCTCTTACACATTTTCTGGGCTCGTGCACAGGCTCACAGAGCTCTGGATGAGGCACAAGTGAACCGTGGTTAACACGGTGGTTACCTCCGACCCCCGTTTAGGGCCCACTTCGAATAAAATGGAAAATACAAAAAAAAAAAAAAAGGAGGGAGGGAAAAGAAGAAAAACCAGGCAGTGTTCCACGGTATAGTAGAAGAAGAGTTCAAAAGAGAGTTCACGAGTAAGATGTATAAATTTGTCATTTATTTATTTCAACTTGCTGACAATTCTTCCCACATTATGACTTTCGCATAAGAACTATGTATCTGTAAGTGATTGTCTTCGACTACTTCTCGTTTGCAGTAAATTGGAGAAAATTGGGTGAAAAATATTGAACAAGTGAGAAGAAACAAGAAACGGTCAGAAGATGAAATCTTCTTGCAAGCATTTAACGATCCCGAACAATATCTCGCTTAAGGACGCTTAAAAATTTCTCTCGACAGACTGGAAAAATCCCAGCGAGAGCGCCTCGAAAGGAGGAACTCGAAAAAGATCCGGTGGCGTATGGGCACGCAGCAATAAGAAGAAAATCAGAACGATCGCGAGAAGAAAAGAGAAGAGAAGAGAAGGGAAGAGAAGGGAAGGGAAGAGAAGGGAAGAGAAGGGAAGAGGACGACGAGAGAGCTGTGGCGAAGGGATGAGAAGTTGGAGGACGCGAGGAGGAAGAGAAAGGCTGTGCTGGTCGTAACAAAGGTCGGGCTGTGCCAGCCATTGACATCGCTCTGGGCCCCGGCCTGGAGGACTAGATTTCACGAGCCAGCGATGCAGGATCCTTCAAAGGACGCCGACACGCCACTGCCGCAAAAAGGATTCGCAAAAAAGGAGAACGGTGCGCAGCGTCCACCGGGCAAAAGGGGGGCCGGGGAACGGTGCTGTGGCCGCCTGAAAGAATCAGGCTTCTTTGCTTCGACGCTGGCTTCCGCAGACCCTCGATCTCTCCCTCTCCTTCTGCTCTTTCCTCTTCTTCTTCTTCTTCTTCTTCTTCTT